GAAGGGTAATGGAATATTCATTCTGAAGTAATCAATAGGAACGAGAAAATGCTAAGATGAAGAGGAAGACTGAGGAAGATGCATCAAGGTTTCAGCGTAGTGTGTGTTTTTTTCACACTGCAAACAAACATCACATGTCTTGCCGGGGCACTGCATCTTGAAATGGGTTGCATAAACAGATGAATCGACAGTCTTTGAGGCCAGGCGCTGCCAAGCCAATGTTTCATGTCTCATCTTCATAAACATTACATGTACCGTCGTCCTCACTATTTTTAGTTCCAAAGGTGCGCAATCTTTTGTTTCAAGCCTCTGATGGTTGTAGAATATGACCATCTTTTACATGAACCCGTAATGTATCTTTCAGTAGCAATGTATAGGTTCTTCTTTGTTTTTAGATATGGTCTACTTTTTTTTTTTTTACTTAACACTGCAAATACCGAACATCCGTACGGCTGGTCCCCAATCTGCGGTGGTGGTGTGTGCCAAGACGGAACCTTTCGTTAATTGAAAGTCGAACCTGCGCATCGCACGCGCGATCGGCTACAGGGCCATTGGGATCGCGTGACCTGGGTTCTTTAGTCCTATTTCCGGATGAAGTTATGAAGAAACTTAAAACTGACCAATAACTAGGTAAAAGGTATAAGGCGGGATAAGTATGCCCGAATACAGTATCACAAAAACGCACGGGATTTTCAGATATAATAGTACAAGTTTTCAGTACATTGCTTGTGGCTTTGAACTTCTTTCAAACCTTAATGTACTGGCAAAAGTATACATCATTCGCCTAACAGATCTGTGCATAAAAAGTGGTTACTTTTATATATACATATATACATATATACATGTATGTATGTATATGTATATATATATATATATATATATATATATATATATATATATATACATATACATATACACATACATAAATATGTGTGTACACACACACACAAATATAGACATATGTGCATATATATATGTGTGTGTGTGTGTGTGTGTGTGTGTGAGTGTGTGTGTGTGTGTGTGCGCGTGTGTGCGCGTGTCACACACACACACATATATATATATAAATATATATATATATATATATATATATATATATATATATATATATATATATATTTATATATACATACACACACACACACACACACACACACACACACACACACACACACATATATGTACATTCATATATATACACATACATTTATATATGTGCGTGTGTGTGTGTGTGTGTGTATGTGTGTGTGTGTGTGTGTGTGTGTGTGTGTGTGTGCGTGTGTGCGCGTGTGCGCGCGTGTCACACACACACACATATATGTAAACATATATATATATATATATATATATATATATATATATATATATATATATATATATTTATATATACATACACACACACACACACACACACACACATATATGTACATTCATATATATACACATACATTTATATATGTGCGTGTGTGTGTGTGTGTGTGTGTGTGTGTGTGTGTGTGTGTGTGTGTGTGTGTGTGTGTGTGTGTGTGTGTGTGTGTGTGTGCGTGTGTGCGCGTGTGCGCGCGTGTCACACACACACACATATATGTAAACATATATATATATATATATATATATATATATATATATATATATATATATATATATATGTATGTATGTATATATACGTATATATATATATATATATATATATATATATATATATATATATATATATATATATATTATGTATGTATATATATGTTATATATATATATATATATATATATATATATATATATATATATATATATATATATATATATATATATACATTATGTATATATATATATATATATATATATATATATATATATATATACATATATATATATATATATATATATATATATATATATATATATATATATATATATATATATATATATAATTTCCAGTGCGTGGTTCGATTCAAATGAACAGCTAAAGAAGAGAACGACATAACGGGGCTAAGCAAGAATTAAACGCACTATCGACAATTTGCTTGTAACGCGTCTTTGAATTTTATGCTGAACTGCACCAGACTTTTCAAAATATCAGCAAACAATATATCAAACATAGTCGAAGATCAAACTTTCAGCTATGTTAAATTTAACTGTCGGCCTTTATTACGGAAAGACACAGTGATCAAAACGAGCCAACACATGTCATCACAAAATCATGAAAAATCAATGAATCAGTGAGGGTATAAAGAAACAAAGAAGCGAACATGTATTTTTTTTTTATTAAATTAATCAATAACAACAACAACAAAAAAAAACGCTATTAAGGAGACAGTCCATCCCAACATACATTCCACTCCTCGAATCACCATGTGACCCTTCTTTCCGCAGGAGAAACCTCCCATGAAGTTGCTCATGAACCCCAAGGGCGTGCAGGACTTCCAGGCCGTGCAAGAACACTACGAGAACCTTATGAACGCCCCAACCAGTCCCGATGTCGGCAAGGTCGTGATCCAGAATCCTGTTATTACCGCGAGTCCTTCCGGGAAAGGTATGGCCGAGCATCACCAGAACTAACCGCTTGAGAAACACAAGGACTGGAAAGATCAGTCCCATAGAGCAAGATGAAGCCTTTGAGGGTATTCATTCTGATGTACAGCTCTTATTCACCAACTATAAGTCCTTACATATTGCATTCTCGTGATTCTTGATTATGCTATTTATTTATACTATGATATTTAGGGTTATCATTGCTTCATCATAACTGTAATTCTTAATGTTCTTGTTATGATCATCCCTATTACTGATAGTGCTCTTGCTACAGGACTATTACTAGTACGATAACCATCACAATTATTGTCATTATCATTATGTTGATGATTATCATTACTATGATTATTACTATCATCATCATCATCATCACCATCGTCTTCGTCGTCATGGTCATCTTCATCGTCATAGTCATCGTCATCGTCATCATCACCATCTTTATCATCAACACTGTCATCACCATTATAAGCATCATCACTATCATTATCATCATAATTGTTTTACTATTATTATCGTTATCATCACCTCCAGTATTGTTATGATTATCATTCTCATGTTCACATTTGACATTAGCACCATGCTTATCATTTTTACCATATAATTCTAATTATAATATCTTTTCACATGTCATCTCACTGTTTCTTTTACATACTTATTTCCGAGTCCTCACCGCTCCCTGACCGCCCTTTGCCTTGCAGGTGCCGAGCTGTTCGCCAAGCGAAAGAAGCGAATGGACAAATTCATCGTTGACGAGACGACGGTGCAGAAGGCGCAGCAGCAGACGACGTCCGTTCAGCAGACCTCCACTTTCAGTTCGAGCTTCAGCAGCAGCAGCAAAAGCGTCAGCAGCAGCAGCAGCTTCAGCAGCATGAAACAGGCGGAGATGGAGAGGAACCGACAGCAGGAGCAGATAATGGTGAGTTCGGGAGTGAGTTTGCCGGTTCGGAGGCGTCACAGTTATAATCCCATGAGTTCCTACTACACGGAGGTTGCTGATGATTATCGTGATAAGAAAATATTTCCTTTGCTTGCGGGCAATTTGTTGCTAGTATCAGTTACTTTGAGTTTAGTAAGAAAGATGTCATAAAAGGTGGAATTTCAGGGCTATGGAAGGTAAACAAGTTAGATTAAATCTGTAGTAAGCCTGTCATGAACCATGAATTTTATCCTGGACGTCGTAGTGATGTGTATGACTATCATGGTCGTGATCTCGCAGTCTTCCTTGGTTATGTCTTGCTTATGAGAATCAAACTGAAACACGTAAACGAATGAATCATTAGATCTAATGAAGGAACCGCGGTAGTTAGTGAATGGTTCATTTTACCTTGGCCCATGAGCGACACGTGTTTCGGTCCACTAAACTCGCCGCCATATTGGTTCGCGAGCAGGAGAAGTTCCTGAAAGACCGGGAGTCCAGCCTCGTGTTGGTGCAGTCGCCGTGGAAGGCCGCGCTCGAGACTGGTCATCCCGACGCAGCCTTCGACGATAACAGATTAAAACAACAGGTATACACAATATAATATACAATATACACAATAATACGCATGCGTACATACATAAACTTATAATAAGGCTCACATACGTACACATGTACTGCACACGCCCGCTTATAAATACAGAAAAATAAGCAATATTCTCTCTCTCTCTCTCTCTCTCTCTCTCTCTCTCTCTCTCTCTCTCTCTCTCTCTCTCTCTCTCTCTCTCTCTCTCTCTCTCTCTCTCTCTCTCTCTCTCTCGCTCTCGCTCTCCTTCTTATTGTCCTTTTTACACTATTTATCTCTATTACCTTTCTTTTACTCTCTGTCTCTCCCACTTACACCTACAACACTAATAATATACCACAAGAGCTCCTAATACAACGGCCTCAGTAAAAATTCAGACACTTCAAGTGCTACGGTATGCTATACTGCGCTGTATCTCTTCGCTACAGTAAATCTTCCCGGGCAAATCATCTATTTACCTTACTAGCTGCACCTTTTCTATAACCGCAGATTCTAACCTGTGTATTTAACTTGGGTAGAAAAAAATGTGATTCGAGAATTGATAACTTCACGAAGCAAGAAAAGGAACTGATGCATTATTGATGCAATTTGGTCAGCAAATTTACATTCATTATGCATATATATATATTATATATATATTTTTTTTTTTAGATACTGTTCATCTTTGAGCACATTTCGATTTATTATGTTTGAGACATATAATTCATTAGAACATATTAAAAGCATTAGATATTCTTCGGGGATGCGTGGGGTGCTTCAGCAATATAAAAGACAGTGCACACATTTCATAGATTGTTGATCACTGTAAGCGGAAGATTTTGTATTGTGCTTATATTAGTATCATGAATTTATATATATATATATATATATATATATATATATATATATATATATATATATATATATATATATATGTATATATATATATGCATATATATATATATATATATATATATATATATATATA